AAGCCTCAATCAAAAATGCAACTTTGTTACCACGGATGATAGAATAGAAACATGAAGCAGCTTTTGATCCCTTTTTTGAGGCACAGAAGGTCCTCAGGAAAAATGAAGTTGGGTCCCTTGATCCATGCACGCGTTCTTATATAAAACAGAACACTGTTTTGAAAAAGCTTGGCACGACATGAAAGACCGCACAGGTGAAACTAAGCTTTTTAAGGAAATAAATAAAGCAGAGATGCTGTAGTAGTGGGAATGTGTGAGAGCTCCCGGGCAGCACATAAAACGCTGAATTGGCTAGCCTCCCGGTTGTCAGAAACCTGGACATCTGTTTTGGTAGTCGTTGCAACAACCTCACCTCTTTACATAATCATATTATCAGTAGTTATTTCATGATATCACTGTGGTAGTATATGAGTACATATAGTAATATGTGAGGAGTACATATAGTGATACACGAAAGCAAAAGCTGATAGTGGTTTTCAAGGTGAGACGGCTCGATATGAAATTCACTCTTGGTAAGGAAATCATGCATCATGGAACATTTATAGTATGGTTTGCCTGGATTCCATGGATTCTTTTTGCATCATCTATCTTTATTGATAGGGCGGTTTCTGCCGCGAAAGTGACCCACATCGTCCACTTGGCCACTCTTCTACCTTCCAGGACATCTTTTCTTTCATGAACAGCAAATTTCTGCGCGTTTCCTCTTTAAACAATCATTATGCCTTTGTGCTGGTATCTTCTACATATACTAGACCAATGCTGCTCCTTCACTTGTGATCATAGAAACAAAATAGAAAATCTATTCCAAACAAACTAGCCTCAGTAGACAAGGCTCGACGACGGTGGACATGCCTCCAATTTTTGCCGGAAACCATGCGTTTTTTTTTCGCTGCGAAGCCATTGTAAACCATTCCGTGCGTGTTCGAACGCCAAAGCGCCATATGTTACAGATGCGATTCTCTGATGTTCATGTGAAGTAGGTGTAGGAAATAGATTCACCTCAAAATACCTTTCGCTTAACTGACCCCGTTACCGTCCCGAATTTTTTCCATTCAAACTGAGGTGCTTATTTTTATTTTGTAAGACTGTTCGTAGGCGTGATATCATTCAAGATTTCTGATCCATCCATTCTTAATGTCTAAACAATTATCATTCATACACATTTTCTGGCTTCTCTTAATTTGCATCACGATAGTTGCTTGCTTGTTTCTTGAAGGAATCGTTCAGAAAAGCTTGTTTTCTACCTTTCATGCATGAAGTCGTTATTTGCTATCACTAGAAACGGTGTAGGAAGTTTCATGTATAAAGATTGAACTTTTGAAAAGAAACCAGCTTCCGCAAACCACATTCGACCAGCAAGAATGATGATGGGCGCAGCCTGCGAGGGCATGGGGAAAGTACGCTGTGGAGTGGCAACTTATCAGGCGACATATCGAAAGAATCGGATTATGGCGTGTGAATTTCGAGATTGTAGAGATTGCAGAAACAACGATCGATAGGTTAACATGCAGAAGAAGAGTGGGATGTCATTGCCATAGGTAAAAATGTCAATAAGAGTTTGCAGTGACGGCACTTCGAAAACCAATCGGGAGCGTTCCCACTGCCAAGCTTTGGGTACGTCAGGAATTTGAACGCGTAGCAATCCTTTCAGCGTTGGTGCAGAACGCGTATTTTTCGTTCCTCTTTTTCATCGCGGAGTGTTGGCTGCAAAGCTAACGATTTATGGAAACTGCAGGGTGGAGGGAGGGGGTGGGGCAAAAAAATCACTTTGCCCATGGCGCACATCACCAAACTTTTTGTCGCACAGGGTACCACCGTTAATGGGAGTTTTACGGCAATATATTCCTCAGATGCCCCCTTATAAGCAGAAGCATACCCTGTCACTGCCCTCAGACTAGCTTTTTTGGTCCCCCATATAATCGTGCTGTTCCTTTGTTTTTCCCTCAAGTATATGTTTCGGTAGGAGCACAAGGTCATCACCTTCATAACGAATTTATCAATTCATGAGGTTACGGTAATACTTTGCAACTGCCTTGCATTTCGTTTGCAGTTCGAGTGTGAAGTGGATGAGTATCGATCTTGCGATCTCATGCCGCACGCATAGTCGGTCGTCCGACAGCAACGATCGTAAGTGTCGCACTTCTGACGATCGATACGCACCTAATGCTGTGCGACACTTGCGATCGTTGCTGTCGGACGACCGACTATGCGTGCGGCCTCACAATTGTAGTGTATCTACTTCAAACCTTCACAAGGTGTGCAACGGGGGGGTCGTATTTGACTTTTTTGAAGGGGGTCATATTTTGGGTTGGTGAAGGTCAAAGTATGGAAAAAAGTGTCATGTTTGTGGATGTATAAGGGGTTGTAGTGAAGTGGGTCGTATTTGATGAGTTTGTGCGGTTTTGGAGAAAACTCCATGAAGGAAGCAAGGAGTACGGAAAACCAGAAAAGTTCGTTTTTCTTCAGACGTGCTTTCCCCCTTCCTCAGCCCCACCGACTTTCGCTCGGCGGTGGTTTGGAGGGAGGAGCGGGCGGTTAGGCTGTGTCAGCTGGTTTCTGAATTAAATTCAGAATTGGATATCATGGACACGGCCATGATGGTGACAGTTGTGGTCGGTGATGGGGACAGGGGTCGTATCGGAAACTTCCCCAAGGTTGATTGTGGTGGTGGGGGTCTTGTCGTGACTCCCCCTATTAAGGGGGGGGGGGTGGAGAAATTTCTGCGCATAAGATTGATTCTGCTCCATACAAGAGCCGCAAGACGGTCGCAAAGTAAGGCCGCGACCTAAATAATTATTTTCACAGGTTAATCCACTTGTAATGAGCAGGCTACGATGTTGAGTTCCTGATCCGTTATTCATGCCACGACATGCATTGAATCTCGAAAATCGCGAGATCCCGAATACGATTCGTTATTTTTTGTTGGTTCGATTCGATAACTTCGAGTATCACCGCGATGGCTTGAAGCGAGCGGCTTCGGTGATGTCATTGCTGTGCCAGGCCCCCCACTTGGGTCACTCTCTTCCACAAATGACGCTTAATGATGTCATCAAAGCTGCCCTCTTTCAGCCATCTTGTTCGTTGCCTTTGATTTAGTATTTTCAGGTATAGTCACAACGAAGGCTCACGATTGAGGTATGGATACCTCGCGTGAGAGCCCAGTATTGGACCGTCGAAAAAGTGAAGCCAACCTCAATGATCAGGACAAAGGTGGGATTTCCAAGCGATATTTTCATTATGGTAAACAAAATTTAAGCTTAATGTATGTATGTATGCGAAACATATGATATACATACATATACGAGTTGAATAGCTTGTTAAAATAACGGTGGGCACGTTTAAGATTGCTGTGGTTGAAAAGCTGTTTTCTGATTGTTTTGAGAAGCAAAAGGAAGGAGACGTTTTGTAGAACACAATGTAAAATCCCATATTGATAGGAAGGAAAGTAGATAGGAAGAAGATCATCATCGGCAGACAGAGACGTCTTCATCTGCGACATACCGCCACCCTTTTGTCGGGATTTGATACCACTTATGATTCTCGCTCCCAGGATATCTTACAAGTTTCACGCTATCATTTTTGGAAGACGAGAATAGTCTTTTGTCGTTGAGCACTTTTCCAGTCACTTTTGGTCCTGGCATGACGCCTGACGTAACAAAG